TTATAGTTTATAATTCAAAACAAATTTATAATTATGTTATGACTTAAAAATATGTCAGCAAGAGAGAAGAATTATATATATAGCTTATTTTCGTTTAATTATGATTTAGTATTAACATTTAACTGACTCTTTCATAAGATAAAACATTAATGTCTATGTATGTTATAAATAACGGATGAATACAAATAATGAAATAATGAATACAAATAATTAAAATTGAAAGATAAAATGAGTGAGCAGTCATAACCATAAATATTTAAATTTTTCTGACATCGACAACAAAAAGTTGAAACAAACAGAGCTGTAAATAGAAGGAAAATGAATGGTTACAGGAATAATTGATATCGACAAACTTATCTATATTTTTATTTTATATATGCTTATTAATTTACGAAAGCAAAAGATACGTTTTATCAACAAAGATTGGCAACAAATGCTTTTTTTCTTTTTTTTTATCATTTGTTTTATTTATTTTGTTTTTATACACTTCACGAATTTGAGTTTGAATAAGAGACCTAAAATTTTCGAACTACTAATCAAAAATGTATGCGCACACTGTTAAATTCTATAGACACAGATGATGTATATATAACATATTTTCAGGTCTTTATTTTAAAAAAGCCTTTTAAGGCAACACAAATAAAGCGTGTTATTATCTCTAAAAAGCATTTTTTGTTATATTTGTGACATTATGCTATCTTTGTATTGTAAGTGTTCCTTTAAATTCGCTTTTACTTTTCAGCGAAAAAGAAAATTAAAACTTGTAAACAGACTAGTGAAAATGTGTACAGTGTAGTGCAATGTAACAAATTAAGGTAAAATGTACCGGTAATCAAGGTAGCGGATTTTTTACTGAAGAATCCGTTATTACCGGGGTGTGTTAAAGTACCAAGAATCTGATATATAGTAAATTTTTACAGTAATAAGTAAAATAGCTGTAAAACAATAGCAATAAATACCGTAAAATTGAATCACTGTAAGTAAATAAAAATTGCTGTTAAAATTTACGTTAAAAATTGATTTTACTGTAAAATGAATTTTACTGATTATGCACCCAAAGTTCCGGAACTTCATAATTTGATCTGAAAATGTTTAGCCATCTAGAATCTAGATCAGTGGTTTCCAACTGGTGTCCCGGGGGCCACATCCGGCCCGCGAGCATTTTCTTTGTGGCCCGCGAACTAAAATATATTAGTTGTCATTTTTTTGCGGGCAATTTTCGTAAAAAATCTATATGGGTTTAAAATACTTTTCTCGTTAATAAAAACCTAATTTCTTCGTTTCTGTGAAATATTTCACACCAACGGTGCAAAAAAAATTATTTCTCAGGTTTTGTATCCAAGAAAATATTTATTCAAATACAAAAATAATCTTGTATGTTGCTCTTTTTTACTTCATTTTTTTTGTATTTTGTGAATATAATTTAGCATTTTTGTATCAGAAATTTTCTCGAAGAAATTCTCCGATTCAACTTTTTGAAATCACTCATTTTGGACGAAAATATTTACACACACAATTGTAAATTTAAAATTTAAAATGTAAATATCTATTCTCTGGTGGTTGCAGCAGACAAACCTCAATTTTGTCACTGAACATTTTGAGTAAGTTTTAATACCAACCTTTTTAAAGTTTTATATCTTAACAATTAGATATCTGTTGCACATTAATTGTTTAATACATGGGTGCCCATTAAAGTTATTATAGCCCGAATTTTTTTGATATGCAATTAAATATTTTTAAAAATTTGTTTCTAATTTGTAATTCAATGCTTTTGTTTTGAACAACTTGGTAAAAATCTGACAGTAATATTTAAAGTTCCTTTAAACATAAAAGAGTGTTACATAAAATTTTGATAAAGTTGCGGCCCGCCATTTGATTTGTGTTTTTAATTGTGGCCCCCGGCCTCATGTAAGTTGGAAACAAATTCCAAAAATGGTACAAAATTCTTCCATCCATCTTTTAGTTACTGGTTCTTCGAAACAATAAGTGGCTAAATTATCTTGGTTTCTACTCCTAAAGAACGTATCGATTGGCAATTACATCGAATAGATAATGTAGTACATTTAATAAAAATAAATCATGTTTGATTATTACTTGCCATCATATATCAATAAGAAAGCATCAGTTGAAAGAATAGCTCTTTTTGAGAAAAATGTTAATATTTCAAATATTCAATATTGTGTAATGTGAAATAAATATAAATAATAAAATTTACACACAATAGCGTAAATTTCATACAGAGTTAGCTCTTTTTTTTAGTTTTGTATTAAATGCAACTTTCTATGAAAATTTTACGAAAAGTAAATATTTTAACAAAAGATTTCTAAGTCTGGGAAAACAAAAGAAACGTCTCCAATTGCATTATTTAAATCGTGAGCGGAACACAGCGTCTTTCAAATCGAGAGCTTTGCGTTCGTGAAAATATTTTTCAAAACAGTCGAAACTATTTCCAGATTATATTTTAAAAGTAGTTTTTCGTGAAGGATACATTTTATCCCTATAATTTCAAAATCCTGCATATTCGCGTTACAAGTTGCATACGCAATAAATTTTTTATTTGCTAGCTTACAATAGTTTCGTTGAAATGTTTACTCATAAAGATGAAAGGACTTCATTTCTTGCAGTCTCTCAACTAACGAGCTTTTAAGAATATGATTCTGTTGAAAAAAATTCAGTAGATTATATATTTTCGAAGCAATATAATTATTGTGCATTGTTCAGAAACTGTGAAACTGTCTACGCGTTATGTGATTAGTTGAACAACAGAAGTTTAAAAACATTTCGTAGCGTTTTTATTTTTTTAACAATTTTTAAAGCGTTTAATTTAAAGAAATTGTTTATCGCAAAGAAACTGTAAATAAAGGCATACCTTATAATATTTTAAGAAATGTAATGCTATCATCACACGCAGTCAGTGATAAGACATGGGATTAACTATCAGTGTAAATGTTGCAGAAAAATTGATTAGATTTTTCTGTTAGAAGGAACTTTTTCTTTAGTAGCTCTCAGTATAAGATTTATAAGAATTATAAAAGTTTAGTATTCAAGTAATATATATGTTTTTCTCTAAAAGTGTTTACTTTTGACTTTAACTATTATTCTAAGGTTCCGTAATTATTACTCCAAGCTTCTTAACTATAACTTAAGTCTTAAAACTTAAGGCTAAGCTCATTAACTGTTTTACAATTACTAAGCAGTAAGCATATAGTAAGTGATTAATAAGCAAGATTTTCTTTTAAATTAAGCTTTGTATAAAACTGTTTCCCTTTCAACTATGCAATTGAAATAATAATTGCAAAAAATTAGAAGAAAATAACATTTCAGATTATTTTTTATACTTTTAGGTAAAAGTTTTTACCGAGTTTTTTAGCAGCTAAAAATTGAAAAGAGATTTTTTTAAAAAAAAAGCAAAATTGTAAATCAAGTTGCAAACCGAGCTAATTCGTCCTATCAAAAAAGCTTTAATTTTAAATGATATTTTCATAGAATGATTAATATGAAAAATGATCCACAAATTGATCGTTAAAAAATCATAAAAAAAAAAATAAGAACGTGTTAAGTTGGTTGCAAGAGCAACCAGAATACTTTTAGTACACACACAATCACAATTTTGTGAAGAAAAAAAGATTTTTTTTAAAATATGAAATTAAATTTATAGGGAAGCTATCATGGTCTTGAGCTGTCAGGGGAGCCCCCAATACAGGCTAATATTCACAGTAAAATGTTCTTTTTTTGAAGGGTCGCTTAAAAGATCTTGGTTTAAAAAAATATGAAAATTTGTTGATGTTATAAAGTCCTTTTTGGATAAACTACCAAATCTTCAATTGAAATAATTTAAAAAAACATTTTAACTAATGTTCTATTACGAGATCTTCACTTCATAAAAGTTTTAAATTGAATTATCCGCAATATATTCTGATTTTATGATGTGAAAAATAATAAAATTTCAGAAACCATAGAATTTGCAAACAGTGCAATAATTTCTGATATTTTGAAAAAGATTTGAATGGTTATTTGTTTGAGAAAAACGATAGCGTGTAACGCGTACTATGTTTAAACAATAGGGGAGAGTGGGGTCAATTGTAAAATTTTTTGCTTAACTATTTTTAACTAACAAAAAATCCAATATATTATTAGCATTAGTTGACAGACGAGTAAAGTAGACCATCCTCTACTAGAAAAAAAAATAAAAACCTTATTTTAAATGCTATTATATTAGTTATTAACAATTTTTGACAGTCGTGCACTTGTTACAATTGTCCCCACTTACGGGGTCAATTGTAACAGTTCATAAATTCAACTAAAACATAGTTAATTATACATATTATCATAGTTGTGATATATTTTTTTATTGATCAAAATAGTAGTGATATTTTAGGAGTAAAAATAATAATGAGCAGAGACCTAAAGGGTTAAACTTTTAACTTTAAGGGGTTAAAAATTTTAATTTATGCTGTGAAAGGTGTCAAATAAAATAATGCACTCGCAGCATAATATGAATGGTATAGAAAACTATTGGTGGTTCTTAAAGAGTTAAGTAATGGTTTGTAAACATAAGATTATTTAATTTCAGCTGTTACATTCGTCCCTTTACTTATTGTTACAATCGTATCCCCAAGACGCCATTTCAGCTTCATTTGTTAAAAAATTATTAATTAACAAACTAGTTCAGCTTCATTGTTAAAAAGCTTCATTTGTTAAAAAATTATTAATTAAATTACTAGTTAATTAACAAAACTAATATTTTTTTTTCAAAATGTTAATTAAGGTGTCCACTTACATATTCGGTTAATAATTTTTATTTGTTTAAACAAAATTACTTTGTTACAATATAATATTCTAATACCAAAAAAAGTACTTACGTAGCGTGAAAATATCTTTTGTGATGTAACTCTTTCAAAAGNCTATAAATGTTCGTTTAATGATCTAAATTTTATTTCAGAAAGACATACAGTATAGACTTTGAAAAAGTGAAATTAAAACATTGTAATTTTTTAAAGGTCTTGTTTACATGGGAGCTCCATTGCCCAGATTTAATGCTCAAAGATGTGATGCACTGAAGCTTGATGATTGTTTTAGAGATCTTCAAGTTTTCCTTAGACTTCTATCTTTGCCTTTCACCTCTAACGTTGCAGAATTAGATAAGCTCTGCGAGTAAGTACAATGCAATTTTGTTGCTGAAGAATTTATTGTATGTGTGCCTGAATTAAAAACAAAGTGAGCATTGAATTTGTTAAGTGATGAATTTGGTCGATATTGATAGAACGTTGAAGTAAACCTTGACGCAAAACCCCATTATATCAGACCTTCCATTCCTACCAATCTAATCCTTATAACCTCCCCAAATCAATATTCCTACACGGAGAAAAACATTCTGGTAAATGTGCCGCACTGCATAATAGCATTTTGGTAAAAAAAAATTACAACTATAGTTCATAAAATTTAAGTATACGGTATTTAAAATACTCATTTGCAAATTTTCCGTTCAGAAACACTCGTAACAAAAAAAGAAACGTGACAAATTTTAGTAATTTGTTACGATTTTAGATATTTTTTATTCCTTGTTAATTGATCCTTGTTATTATTATTAGTAAGAAAACAATCAAAAAGGAAGCTGTGCAATGTCGTTTCAAGAATTGCAGATATTGATATACGTTCGCACTGGTAGTTTGACATCCATTCGGCATGCACTTTGATGTAAACAGGCTCTCTCCATTAGGGATAATGGTTCTTTCTTGACTTACAACTGAGTATAATAACTATAATATAATCGTCAAGCAATTACTCAAATTTATAAAATAAGGAATTTTGATTAATTGTTTGATTATCAAAAAGTTTTTGATCTTGTAAGAGTTTTGATCATTTGTTAGTTTGCTCGACGTTTCAATAAAAAATGGTGAAATAATTAATACGCAGAAATAAAGGGTATAGTTATGTGTTTGGATCATTCCATATTATTCGCGTTGCTGACTCTGAATTTCGTCTGAAGTCAACTGTTTGTACATTTCATTGCAAAATTGTATAATAATAAAAAAAAAATGTAAATTAAATCATTAGGCTTTTTTTCATTAAAATAATTACGTTTTTTTTCTGCTAGAAAAGAAAAGGATCAAATGATTTATTTTTGCAGAAGAGTAACATAATAAACTATAACGATACTTCAACCTAATGGTAAATAAAGTTCAGTATATAGGCTACTTAAATATAATAAAATATCTTCTCTTAATTTTTTATTCTGAAACATGAAAATCGTTTTTATCAGAATATTTTTTTTCAAATCCTACATATCTTAAAGTTTTAAAATCGCATTGACTTCTGCTGCAGCTATAAATTTTATATAGTTGCGAGAATCTTTCAATAAATCAAACCTTATTTCTAGTAATTCAGATACTGAAACACATAAAATTTGATAGGAAAAGAATAAACAGATCGTTGCCCTGAAAAAAAATCTGACAATAATGAATCATGCAGATGATTTTTAAAAGGTCAATTTGATTTTACTACCTTTTGCGAGTAATCAATCTTTGTTACTGGTTCTCGCTTCATTGCGCTCAGAGCAATTCTTACTGAATTTTTTTACTCTATATATAAAAAAAAAACGTTAGAACTGCTTTAGTTTACGTAGTAATTTGTTGTGCTGCGCAATGATTATCAGACTTAGAAACTTGAAATTACGAGTGGATGTGGAGGATTTAAAAAAAATTAAGATATGGTAGCTAGACAATAATTAAATGTTAAACTTGTGACCTGTTGCAAGCCGCTAAAATGAAACTACCGAGTTAAATTTGACTTATTGACGGGATTAATTGTACATAAAAGTGTAACATGAGTAGTGTTTTTCGAAATTTCTAATTTTTCGAAAGTTACAGTTATGAAAAGTTTTCCATAAGATTTTGTTACGAATTACCGTTAGCATACGAGCATAAGAACTATGAAATTAATGTTTCAAATACCGTATATTTCAGTTTTATTAACCAGTATTATGTTTTTCGTTACCTGAAATGTCACTTCAGATTTTTTTCCTTGTGTAGGAACAACTTCGCAATAGTGCAAATTTCCGATTTTTCCCTTTTAGAAAAAAATAATTAAAAAAATTAGACGATATGTTAAGATAAGGAATTTTAAGAAATTACTGCTTCATATTTTATTTTTAAATAAAAAAAAGTGCTGAAATTTATTTGGAAAACTTAACCTTATAACTAAACTTAACTTTAACTTAACTTTCACTTAACTTAACTTAACTTTCACTTAACTTAACTTAACTTTTACTTAACTTAACTAAAACTTAACTTGGTATGTTTTAACTATTTTTACACGTCATTAAAATAAACATATTTGTTAAATTTTATTAAATTTATGTTGTTAATTTTTTCAACAACATAAGAACAATAAATAATTCAATTTAATAACTTAAGAAAAAACTTATTTTGTATTTAAAACTGAATGTTATTAAAATTAAATTTTATNTGTACAAAGTACTTCAGCCAAAATTTGGGAGCCACGTAAGAGAATTATATATATTAGATCAGAAACACATCATTAAAAGGCAGAATGCTTTGGTGTTTTCAAAACAAAGCAAACGTTGCCACCGGCGGAAAAGAAATACAGCCAAAATTTGGGAGCCACGTAAGAGAATTATGTATAATAGATAAAAATATATAAATTAAATCATTAGTTTTTTTTTCATTTAAATAATTACGTTTTTTTTCTGCAAGAAAAAAAAGGGGCATCAAATGATTTTTTTTTTTACAATAGAGTAACATAATAAACTATAACGATACTTCAACCGAATGGTTAATAAAGTTTTGTGTATAGGCTACTTAACTATAATAAAATATCTTCTCTTAATTTTATATTCTGAAACATGAAAATCGTTTTTATCAGAATAGTTTTTTTTAAAATTATATACATCTTAAAGTTTTAAAGTCGCATTGACTTCTGCTGCAGCTATAAATTTTATAGTTGCGAGAATATTTCAATAAATCAAACCTTATTTCTAGTAATTCATATACTGAACCACATAAAATTTGATAGGAAAAGGATAAACAGATCGTTGCCCTGAAAAAAAATATGACAATAATGAATCATGTTGGAGATGATTTTAAAAGGTCAATTTGATTTTACTACCTTTTACGAGTAATCAATCTTTGTTACTGGTTATCGCTTCATTGCGCTCTGAGTAATTCTTACTGAATTTTTTTACTCTATATTAAAAAAAAACGTCAGAACTGCTTTAGTTTACGTAGTAATTTGTTGTGCTGCGCAATGATTATCAGACTTAGAAACTTGAAATTACGAGTGGATGTGGAGGATTTAAAAAAATTAAGATTTGGTAGCTAGAGAACAATTAAATGTTAAACTTGTGACCTGTTGCAAGCCGCTAAAAGGCAACTACCGAGTTAAATTTGACATATTGACGGGATTAATTGAACATAAAAGTGTAACATGAGTACTGCTTTTCGAAATTTCTAATTTTTCGAAAGTTACAGTTATGAAAAGTTTTCCATAAGTTTTTGTTACGAATTACCGTTAACATACGAGCATAAGAACAATCAAATGAATGACTTAAATACCGTCAGTTTTATTAACCAGGATTATATTTTTCGTTAAATGAAATGTCATTTCCGATTTTTTTCCTTGTTTAGGAACAACTTCACAATAGTGCAAATTTCCGATTTTTTCCCTTTCAGAAAAAAATAATTAAAAAAAAAAAATGTTTTTTTAAATATTTTTGAATCTACTCTATCTAAAATACCGGATCAAATTATGGCATAAAATACCGCCACTTTAGGTACATCATCCGTAAAATCTATGTTTACCATAAAATATAATACCTTAAGTTTTCCAGTAATATTTATTTAATTAGAGATATTATTTGATTTTACGTAATAATTGTTCTAAAAGTGGTAATTAAAATAGTTTAAAATCGAATTTGAAGAATCACTTTGTGGAACGCAAGGAGAATACCTTCGACAAGAAGTGGCAAAATAGACGATATGTTAGGATAAGTAATTTTAAGAAATTACTGCTTCATATTTTATTTTTAAGTAAAAAAAATGTGTTGAAATTTATTAGGAAAACTTAATCTTATAAATAAACTTGGCATGTTTTAACTATTTTTACACATCATTAAAATTAACATATTTGTTAAATTTTATTGAATTTATGTTGTTAATCTTTTTAACAACATAGTAACAATAAATAATTCATTTTAATAACTTAAGAAAAAACTTATTTGAATTTAAAACTGAATGTTATTAAAATTAAATTTTATCATAGAATGTAACTTGATGTGTCTATGCCAATTATTGTTAAAAAATCTTTTGCAAGTGGTTTTAAAATCGGGCAATTAAAAAAATACATTATTATTATAAAATTACAAACTTCTTAAAATTTAAGATAAATCATTTAATGAAATATTTTTAAGATACGAAATATACATTCTTAAATTTAATTAATTTCTTTTAAGAATGACAATAGTTAAAAATTCCTTAATGCCACAGGGTTTTTTAAGTTTTAGATTATCTTCTGAATAGGTTGGAACATCTTGAAATTTATTTAAAATAATAAAGTAATAAAAATAACTGTTCATTTCATTAGCTAACTGTTAATTCATTCGTAATTCACTCGGAGAAAAATTCTTTATTTTTGCTCTTTAATTTGTTTTTGCATAGTTTCAAGTCATTTTTATTAGTTTATGCTTTTTTCGTAAGATGAGTTGAATATTTGGTAATATCTATTTAAACAATTTAAGTGCTTCGTTTTAATGTTGTATATTATTCAATATCATGAAACCGTTTTCTTTTCTGTTTTTTCCCTATTAAGTATTTTTAATTTAAAGCTCCAAATTAATTTTTAAGCAATTGAAGTGTAATGAACAGTAAATAGTTTTTCTCAAAAACACACAATTGTTTTTTTAATTATTTTTGCACGAAATAATTTAATTAGTTCTTAGAAACATTTTCCTACTCTTTTTAATTATGATATATTTGCAGCAGAGATCTCAAAAAAACTTTCATTTAAATAAATATATTTCATATTAGAAAATAATGAGTAGAAAAATAATGAACGCTAAATATTGCGTAAATACATAAAGACTAAACGAACAAATTTCTTTTTCGTCTCAAATGATTTTGCTCTTAAAATTACAGAGAGATAATAAAATTCCGTAATATATAATCTCGTTGATCTTTTAAACTTAAAATATATAAATATCTGAAATTTTTTGTGCACTACTTCCTTTACAAAAAAATGCATAAAGTAAAATTACAGAGATTGAGTATTAATTATTTATAAGAAATTGCGGAATAATTAACCATAAGAATTTTCTAAATAATTTCATACGACCATGTGCGTTCCCAGAAATAACGCCATTTCGTCATTTTTGTGTCACATTAAGTCAAATATCTCCTGATAAATGTGGTTTTCCATGCCCCTAAACTTTGAACATTGAGCTCATTGAACTTTGAGACATTAGTTTTTTGTCCCGGTTAGAGGTTTTATTTTATACATTGTTCATTGTATACATTGCACAATGTATACAATGGACAATGTATATTGTACCGGTGTGAGGATTTTGTGATACCAGCTTTACATAGTATACATTATGCAAAGTAAAGGCTGAAAGTTCTATATAAATTGAAACAACTCGAGGGAGAAAAACATTCCGATAAAACAACCATAATTGCATGATGACTTTTCTGGTTAAAAAAAATATAATTCATTTAATGAAATCAAAGTGCAAGGGTACCATTCATTTGCTAATTTTTCCATTCATATAGTAATGGTCACCGAAAGTTCCGGCTTTTAAAATTATACTTCTTATTACCACACATTTAATAAAAGAAACTGAAAATAAAATTTAACCGAATAAATAGTTTTTATCCCACTAAGATATGATAAAATTACCACATGTACTACAGAAGAGCTCGGTAAAAACAACAAATTTCATTGTTTATTTTACCAAAAGTTATTACTAAAGCGGTTCGGTAAAAATCACATAGCGTTTTGCTGTTCCCATAGAGCCAGAAACATGGTAAATTATATTTTATCATATTCTGGTAGATTCGATCATACTATTTCTTATGAGCATAGTAGTTCTTAATACTAAATACAATTCTTTGAATTTCTGCAGATAATTGATTTCAAATATACCCTCCAAAGCCTTGATGTGCTTGTGAAGCTCTCTGATAAAAACAGAAGTCACACCAGAGAACTTAAGTAAGGAACTAAGGGGTTGACCACAAATGATGTCACGCTTCGAAGAGGTCCCACATGAAATTGAGACAGTTTGTAATAAGGAGGTGAGAGTGGGAAAAACGCGGTATTTTTCTTCAAAATTTTGCTAAAAATTTCATTTTTCAAGTAAAATGAATAGGCATATTGGATTTATGGCGTAGTTCCTCTGCCTTTGAACAGCAAGTATGTGGTTATATTATGTGGTGATGACCTGCATCAAAAGGGAGGAAGAAGAGCTTTGGTGAAGTGAGATACGTATTCCCCATTCATACAGCTGTTTGTTAGTCATTTTAAAGCATAAACTTCGTTTCAAACCACTGTCTATCGTTCACACATATCGCTGGTTCAAAACAAAAACGACACATCTGCAGGCATAATACGTTTGCAGATGTGTCGTTTTAGTTTTGAACCAGCGATATGCTGTGGTGTGAAACGGCTTTGCATAGCGGAGCGATTATAATTTGCTAGTTAACGTAGGATACAACGGGAATTATTTCTCAGAATGCAATTATCTCTCATGTTTCAAGAAACTTCTTAACTTCTGCGTCCTAACGTTTGAAAATTTGTTTGGAAGTACTTTTGTTTTTCTTTGGATTGGCTATAAACTTCTAAGATACTTTTTAAAAATGGCTGGAAATGGAAATAATATGCATGAAATGTAGAAATAAATGTGCATGATTACATAATTCCATTTACCAACATTATGGTTCAACTATAAAATGAAGAGATCTTAGCCACTTACCAACATTTTAGTTCCAGGATATGCTAATTCTTATCGGCAAAGTAAGCCAATTACAAATTTTAGAACAATGAAAAAAAACCTTTCTTTCTATAGAATGAATTTATTATTATTTTAATGTCTTTTATTCAAGAACTGCAAAAATGCAGCAGCCAATAATTCTAGAACTTTTACCAATTTGAAGTTGAATAAATTATGTGTTTATTCTGCTTAAGACTAATGGAATTTTGTGTTTCAGACAATCCGTTGCAGGGTATAACTGTTCTCAAGTGTTATTTGAAAATCGTGATTGTTTATCGGCCCAAAATAAAGAGGTTTTACCAGTTTTTATTTCAATGGCCCAATATACACACTTCATGTTCTGTGGCGATGGTCAAAGCGCCGATAAAGGCTTCATGAGAACTCGTAAGATTTGTGCTTATAGCGTCTTATTTATAATATAACATTTTATATTTTTCTTCATAATTATTTAAAAATGTTTTATGAAGAAGATAAAATTGATTATCACAACTGAAAAACACATGTTGATTCCTTCATTTTGTACCTAACTACTTTTTCACGCGCATGAATTTGGTTTAAAAAGAATCACTCATAGAAAATCCACAATAACCTTAAGAGCAAATTCTTCTTGCATTTGGGATGATTTTTTTTCAATAATTCTTACAATTCCTTGTCTTCGTACAGTTTCGGCCCTTCACTGCGTTTTTTGTCTTCCATGACAGACTCACTGTTTTTAAACTTCTGAAACTCACTTATGACAACTTCTCTCAATTTAAAGCAGCCTCACCATATGCTTCTCCAAGCAATCGATGCTCCTCAGATGCAGATTTCTTCAAATTAAAGAAGTAAATCAAAAGTTCCCGCAAATGACGCTTATTTAGAAAACAAAACTTGACATTTTTGCACGAAAACAATTACATAATGCTAATACGGAATCACTAATACTTTTAGGTTATGTTGCTACCAAATGAACAATAAATTTAAAATAAGACGTTTAACTCAAATCAATTTCTACATAACCTTTTAGTAGTGCCATCAAGTGAAGAACGGTGGGAACTTATTTGTACACCTAATAGCATTTGTTATTAAATCTTGAAATTTATCGAAAAACCTTTATTAGTTAAAGTCTTCTTTTAATAAGTACAAAAACTACTTAGGAAATTCCTACAAACTTCATTTTAATTTTCGAGATATTCTAATCGGACTTTTTTCATTAGTTATTAAATGCGATTCACTACAAAATTGTGATATGTTTTGATTTATTTTTCGCATTCGCGAAAGTACAAAATAACTATTTTAAATACTCACATATTGTCAACTTTCTTTAAACTAAAAATGATAATTTTGTTAATAATTTAAAAACTAATCCAAGAATTTTGTTTTCTTTTAACAAATACTTTTACGGTTATAGTAAAAGCAAGTAAAGTAAGTTTTTTTTAAAATTAAAATATCTCCTTAAATATTTAAAGTTAATGTTACGAAATTTCATTGATTTATAGCAAATTTCAATCAAAGGAATCGATACAAATTATAAGCCAATTGCTATATTTTCTGAAATAGGGTGTTCAAAAATATTTACTTTCTTTCGTAATTTATTGTCGGTTCCTTAAACCTCTGAAAGCTTCAAAATTTTATTGAGAAATCGCTCAACCTATATATATATATATA